TGGTAACAGCCTGGTGATTCCGTTCATATTTTGCTCTGCTAGCAGAGCTAAGTGGTTGGGGCAGTAAGCCATGGATTTCACGACGTTTACGTTTCCGGTTGCCAAACAGGTTTATCCTAAGTTTCAAGACTATTGCAAGTTGGCCTGGGCCATCACTCACAAGTGGTTGCACCATTTGGTGGCATTACATTATAGTACATTCTTCAATGGAAGGACTTTCTGCATCGACAATGCGTTCAGCACAGAGACTTTGCCCAATGCCAAAGCTCCCATGTCTATGGAAGATGCTTGATGTTTTCGACAGCTTACACAAGACTTGGTAGTCCAAGGGAAAGACCACGCTGTTAATCACACGCATGTCTTGTGTCCTGTCAAGTTCTCAAAGCAACCTTCGGAGACCCCAACGTTTACAACAACATAACATTACCCCCAGTGCAGCCCAACGTCGTTTGATCGAGATTGCCAACAGCGAGTGGCTGAAGAAGTACAAATGGGGTATTCGATCGACATGCTGAATTTCCTACATCCTACATCCTGGTCATGGCCCAAAAGAAGTTTCTTGAAGCTCGCCATCATCAACTACAAGTCATTCCTTTTTGCACGTTTGTTTCCTTTTGCACGCTTGCTTCGTTGCACTGCCTTTCTTTTGATGGCAATGATGAAAGATGTTTTTCCGAGTTCTTGCGGCAACGAAATTATGCCAGAGATGTTCAACAGTTTCTTCAGCATACCCATCCTGAGCATCATTTGGTATAGTCCAGTTAAGATCTTGTCGGAGTCTTCACATCCATTCCTGCTGAGCGTATTCAAGATGCAGATCGTTGGATGATTGAATGCTACAAAACTTTGCATCATGACAACGATGAGATTGTGTTCACGGCTTTTCCAAGAGAGAATGATGTCAATCTTCGCACCAAGCGTGCGCTCCGTGGACGTGCCTTTCACATGTGCTTCAAAGACATCCTCAAGCTTTGCTTGTTGTGCCAATGTGGTGACAGACGCAGCAAGTTTTCCAGCAGGTGCGTGGCAGTGCTATTGGCAATCAAATTTCCCCTGGTATTGGCTGACACTGCCGTCAGTTTCATTGAACAGCAGTGGTGGGAGAAGCATCAAGCAGTCATTCGCCGATATCGTGATCCGTTTTTCGGTTGCCGCTACGTTGACAATCGGTTGGTGGTTTTTTCGGAACAGATCATGCATCAATCTTGGCTGCTGAAACTATGAGAAGCCTGTGGGGCAAGAAGAAGTTGAATCTGGAGAGTTTCCCAGCGCAATTTTGCATCCTGATGAGCATTGTCTTGCGCTCATTATGCCGAAAGAGCAGCACCAGTTTAAACCGATGAATATTGCAGGATGTGAAAGCCACAAGAGCGGTGCAGTCAACAGCTGAATTTGTTTGGCATCTCGATGCTCTTACCCGAAGTTACAGAGGGAACAGACTGTCAAGTCCATATGCATGCAAAACCTTGACAGAAAATATCCTGAGTCCCTTGCCCGGATACAAGAGAAGTTTCTGAAACAGTCTGCGACTTCGTGACACAGCTGCCGCAGTTCGTGAACCAAATTTTAATTGATGCCAATTGCAATCAATGTTACCTCTGGTCAGGGGCAGCTGTGCGTACACTGTCTTGGAGTTCAGGGATAAAACGAAACAAGCAGCAGTGGGGCAGTGCATGCCTGACAGACACTGCCCANNCGAAGACACTGTCAGTGCAGGGTGATATGTGGCCTGATCAGCCAAACGTACCTGCGATTTTTTGTTTTGTGTGGCGAGGGGATAAGCCAAGAACCTCAACCCATAGTGATTCGAACGACCTGGTGTGATCGAAAAAGAGACAAATCACAGAGAAGTGAAAATAACCCAAGTGTGTGTGTTTGTGTTTGTATATGTGCCCACATATGTTCATGCTGGCAGGGGTGCGTAGAAGGTTCGACATCGGAATTTCCAGGTTTCCACATTCCAGCTTGTCAGACCCCCCGCTGCCCGGAGGCATCAACAAGTCTGGAAATCTGTAAGCTTCTTTCAGGAAGTGCGGATACAAGCTTCGACCAAAGATGATATCATGGCCTTGCAAGGATGGCGCGCAACTATACAAGTATCAAGATGCAGGCTTGAGAAACGCAAATGTTTGGTCCGAAGACGTGCTATGGTGTATGCATGCAAATCAGCAAACGTATCAGCGCGTGTACTCGGAGCGATATTGGCTATTGGCACGAGTACACAGTGACTTTTTGAGGGGGTCAATTACTTGCCCTGCATGGCTGGGGTGGTAGCGATTTTGGGGGGGCTAAATGGCGGGGGCGAGCTGGGTGGGGGGGGGGGAGTGGAGAGGGTTGTGAACATGCCGCACACTAGCGCCCATGCGGAGGTGACATGAACCTGCATTCGCCACCCATTGTTGAACACACAACAGTTTGCGTCACGAGCTTGTGTTGTTCCGGGTCATGTAAACATGTCCACTGTATGGAGCATAGAACTTTTCACAGACATCCAGCAGCTTAGTCGCAGCAACATTATGTTGTATCGCACAGCTCCTGCTCGACAGTCTATCACTTTACTTGTTTGTTTCAGTTCATCATTAAGAATGTTGTTTGTTGTTTGTTATTTGTATTCCTGTATAAAGTACTGTTGCTGTTGCATAGCTTGCACAGGTTCGTGGTGTTAGTTATGCCACAAGGCACCGTGCAGGTACAAATTCCAATCCACCAACAGATTGTTCGGAAACAGGACCCCGCAATGAAATTCCTAGATAGCTTACCGCGACGATCGTCCACGTGGCCACACCGGCCGTGCAAACTTCAATTGATCAATAATTTGGTTGAGACTCAGGGTCCCACAAATGTATTGTCGTTGCAGGACTGTAGTCCCCAGACGCGCCACTAGACAACGAATGATTCCCAAATCAATTTCGCAGCCTGTGGTTTCACGGACCTAAAGTTTTCAAAGCTGCCAGAATCAAAGGATCCTGTGCATGGCTGTTTCGTGAATCAATCACGCTATCTGCATGCAGAGATATTTCCAACAAGTAACAATCCTTTTAAAGGGGGTGACCATTGGGAATATTGAGTAGTGCTGTTTTGGGGACAGGCACTCTGAACAACCAATAACCTATGTTCTTCGAATATATGCTGGGCAAACAGAAGGTCTTCACCGCTTTGCCAAACTCTGCATGTAGCATCCCGCGAGATCCAAAATATCACAGCTCTCGAGAAAGACACATCCGAAGCTTACGGGTCTGTTGGAGGTGCTTGGCTGCTTTCTTGGGCTCTGGCTGCCCGATCAAGAAGCCAGGTGTGCGGAGTGAAAAGAGCACTCCCGGCGTGTCTGTGCCACGCGACACACACGGAGGCTGTTGACAACAGAGATGGCGCGCATGCAACGACCATGGAGCCAAGGGAGCCAAGGGATGTAAGGTCCTTAGAGGCTGGCAAACCGTCAAGGAGTTGCGGAGCCGCTCATCTGAGGTCAAGCAGAATCTGCGGAAGAGGCAGCCGCGTGCCGGCACACCCTCGAACCGATCGGGACCTGCAAGGGAGGGATGCAGCAGCAAAGTGGAGGGCAGCTTTCCCGACGACTGTTGCTGCTGCCACGTGCGAGGACGGGCATGACGGCATGACCCAGATCTGCAGCCCGCACACGGGAAAAAACGAGGGAGATGTGTGACTTTGTCGTCAATGCTTCGTGCGTGAATTGCGTGTGTTGAAGAACGTTGATTTTGTGCAGTCTGCTTTTTGTAGCTTCTGAGAGGGGTTTGATAAAGCTCGAGGTTATGAGAGAAAGTAGTTGTTATCTTTAGTAGTCAGTCAGCCTGCTTGCGATTTTATGCTGGACAAAGCGCACTTCAGCAGGTTTGGGCCATGAACATGGTTTAACAAGCACTGCTGCCTGGAGGGCTTCACATTTGGTCGAAGCGAACCAGCTGACGCGGAAGGGGCCCGAGAGGCTTGAAGCGCAGCTTGTTCTTAGCCCTCGCTATCCGGTCCGAGCGGGTCCCAAATGAATGGCAAATGGCCTGAAGGTGACAATGCACTGGGCATCGCACGTTCCGCGTCCCAAGCCGGGCCCTGATTGCCAGGAGATGAGTGTGAACGGTGCTGACCACCGAAGTTCCCTGCAGCCATTAGGGCCTTTCTCGAGCAGGACTTTCGAAAGCTGAATCGGGCTGCCGCCAAGTCTGGGATCAGGCTCTTTTGATTCATCTTCAGCATCTTATAGTAGAGTGCAGTGAGGGCGGGAATGAAGGGGAATCACATTCTTACAACACTGAAGCCTTTCAGTTTGGGAATGATGTGGAGGGCTGTCTCCGGCACGCCGACACATGCAGATTGTCTGTGATGCTTGTTTTGCTTGCGCTTCGTGCAGCATTCGTTGCATACCATGGCATGTCAACCAATGTTGGCTCATGTGGATGCAATTTCCGACAATCAGGCATGCTCGAGATCTCGCAGAATTCAGGAAATCAACCGATATCAAGTTGGTACCGCCCGCCCCGTGCCTACAGCATATTGGCACGAGTTTGATGCTGACTCCGAGCGCCGGAGGTTTCAGTGGTATATTGTCTTATGGACGCGTTCCCAATCTTGAGCGCTTGCTTTCCAAGGGTCCGCTTGGTGTGCTGCCGAAAGTTATCCCCTCGGACGTCATCCCTTCGCAAGCCGAACACGCTTTGGCTTCACTTGAGTCTTGGGATTGCGGCCTTTGGCAGCATTTCAAGCTGTGACAGGTTTGCTTACGGAACAAAATCACGACCTTCCACCCCAATAACTCACGTTGCATCCTGGAAGCACTGGATCCGAATGTGGCTGCGCAAATGCCTGGGATGTGTTTGTAGAGAGAGAGAGAGAGAGGGAGTGTGCTCTGATGAAGAAGAGAGAGAGTGTGTGTGTGTGTGTGTGGTCAGATCGGCAACCAGTATGCGACAGAGTCAGAAGAGGCTCGAGACAACAGAGATCATCAAGTGCCTGGAAGCAATGCACTGTCAATGCAGGTGAGCGCATGTGTGCTGCGTTTGCTCTGTTGCAGGCTTTGGCAGTTCATTACAGAGTGTTGGAGGCTTGGCAAACCTGTGTTTGCCCACCTTCGCAAGAGTTGGCCTTCCAGGAGAATCAGCAAAAGCAGGAGCGTCGGCTTATCAAGCTGACAAAGGCATGAATTAGCTGTCATGGGTCTGTGTATTTCTGTGCATTTGCTTGATTTCCTCGTAGCCCTCAGATGAAGGCTTCCAAAGAGCGCATTCATGAAGCCCGTCAAAGGATGAAGGAGTGGCGCAACCCACAGGACACGGAAGCCTGATGGCGTGGTATGCGCGGAGTCAGCTGACGCATCTAACTGCATCAGGAGCCTAAGGAGCCGTTCAAGCTGACAAAGTGGACCTGCATGTGCAAATTCCAGAGTGCAACCGGTACCGCTCATACGTGCCAGGTTCAAGAAGGTCACATCAAAGTTGAAGCTTCCCGGTGGTCTTCGTGAGTGCTGTGCTCAAGCTCTGTCTCTGGGGAGTGGAACGTGGTAGGAAACTGCGGATACTAGTAGACTTTTTTTTGTAGCGTTTTGTCTTATTGGCGACTTGTTTTCTCTTTCCGGTGACAACTGTTCTTTGGGCCGCTTCATTACCTTAACTATTACTGACGGTTTTGATTTACTATAGATGCCGAAACCCAAACTGGTTGGGTTGAGGGTGGTCTGGAATCCTGAGGAAAAATCAAAGGAGCCAGGCGAAGTAACAAAATCACAAACTTTCGAAAGCAAAGGTGTGCTTCGGCTCCGGCTTTGCAGAGATTGCCGGATGAGCAGCCAGAGGACTCGAAGCGTGATGGCATGTGATGGCGGTTTTGGGTGTGATGCTGCCATGGCTCATCTCGACAGGCGCTTGCTCACACAGTGCCAGTTGCCCAGGTGGGTTGTGGGATGCAAAGTGAGGCGTGCACGGCCAAGCATTCAGTGCGCGCAGGAAGTGCCGGAAGAGTGAAGAGCCCTCAATGGGCCCTCGAGGCGTGATGCGCTCAAAGCTGCAATCGCGCAGCTCAACCTTTTCCACCCTCAGCAGGAAGCCTGCAAAATTGCTGCTGTGTCAAAATGTGACGCAGACCTTTTGTTGTAGTTGATACTGTCTGTGTCAACAAGGGTTTGCATGAAATTCACAGCTTGTCTCACTTCTCACCCAGCTGAAGGATTCAGGACATTTGGCTCAACCGCTCTGATGGAGCAGGAAAAACAGCTTAAGTGTGGAGGTGCTCAGTCCAGTCAGTGGGTGTACCGCCGAAATAGACCGCATCGCTCCCTTCCCCCAGTCGAGACGAAACTAGCCTTCCGCGTTGTGCTGTTTTGGGATGCGGCCCAGGCGCGTCAGTTCTCGTGGTTTCTGAGTTCTGAGAAGAGCTCCGGCAGGTCGCACATGCGCACTGCAGGGTGTTTGACCCCAGTTGCAAAATGATAAGCTTTGAAGAGATGAGCTCCGCCAGCAGATTGTGGTGATGAGTTGGCGAAGGCAGGCATTCGCGTGTGGGGGAGCGGCGCGCCACATCGCATCATCCTGAGACTTAGCGTATACTGGGCGACCACAGGGGAGTTTTGTACAAATCGTCTACAAAAGCGAAGAAGGGAGGGGTCAGCTCTGATTCCGCACTGCGCAAGGCAGCATGTTGGCCGATAAACCGGGTTCCAGGATCCCCCTTCGCCTGGGCTGATGTTTCGCGACGAGCCCGCGGCGTCACCAGCAATAGTGGGAAGATGGGTGAACAAACGAAAAGGCGCACGAACGGCAGATAATGGCATAAGTCCGGCGCACACGATTCAGGTTTGTAATATGTCGGCGCGGATGTTGTGGCACACGGCGCGCGGTACTAGACTTGCGAAAAGACACTGTATAGTAGTGTCGCTGGATGTACGGTACGATGAGCTGAACCTATTTTATGTATGAATGCCAAGTTCCGCCACCACGTGATCCCGCGTAAACCGAGCGGTGGAACTGGAATGTTTGGTTTGCTAGTTCAGGTCTTAAGAAGATGTTTGACGGCATGGAACCCAATATGGCCACCTTGGCGCAAGCATGAATTTGGATCCAGCTCATCGGTTTCCGTTTTGTTAAGCGATAGCCCATGCCATGTCTTCAACGTTGATCGGACAGCTCTTGTCGACAGCACAGGGCCTACTTGACGGCCTTGTGGGCTGTGTGGTCGGCCGTTTCCTTGCCAGCGACGTGCATGAAATGCTTTGCCCAGGCAGCCCTTACCATGCAGTGAAGCGACGCCCCAGTACTTCTCTCCGGGGCTTCGGGCCGCTTGCCCTTGAGTTTGCATGGGGTTGGCTTCTCATGGGCATCCTCATCGGCTGGCTTCTGCACCCAGCCGCGGCCGCGTTGCATTGTCAGGAAGTCGCCCTTCACCGCTCACCCCATGGAGCTAGGCGCACCCAAACTTGGGCGCACCTGTTCAATGAGGCGACTCGAGTGTTCCAGCGTGGGCGCCTGGCAGCACAAATGCGAACGGTCACTTCTGCTTCTGTGGGACCACGCAGTCCTTGTTTCGTTTGATAGGGAACGGGCGCAGCATCTACAACACCATGTTTCGCGAGTGCTGCGTCACCGCTCTGTTGGTCGCGGCGCCCGAGCTGGTCCTGTTTCGTACGCGGGGACAAACTGCTCGCAAAACGTGGCATGGGCAAAGCAGCAGATGATCATGGAGTGGGAGCTATTGGACCAGCCCCCATCGCGTCCTGATCCTTGCGTTGCGCACAGTACCTCTGCAGGATGTGGCCCCCTGCTTACACATTGCTCAAGCAAACGACACCGCGACTCCCTCGGAGCTGTTACACCACAAACACCGCACGCGCACGAAGCGTGGCAACTCTACCGGCTGCCGTTAGCGGTCGGGGCTGAAGTTCTGCTGTTCGCGCAGCGCCGGCAACAAGCTGGGCCACGTGGTCTGAAACTTTGCCAACGCTCCATGTGCGCTCTCTGGTTTTCGCCGATGTGCTCATGCTCAGAAGCGCAGGGGCCTGCTTTTAACATATGAGGGCTCGCAAACGAATGGTCGCAAGGCTGGCGACAAGGCGCATCGTGGACTGGCGTGCCGTGCTTGTCCCATGTTGCTGCCTTCCTGGTGGCAGCTTCTTGAAGCATACTCGGATCGGAAGCTGGTCGCGACATTCTGGCCCCCACAGATGTGGAGGTGCAGTGGACGCCATTGGCGACGGGGCGCGCCAGACTTTGGAACCGCTGCTTAGCTGGCCCAGCACCTGCGATCCCCAAACCAACTTTCGACAAATCGTGGTGGGCCCCACCAGTTCTTAGACATTGCTTGCTGGAGAAAATCTCGACCTTGAACGACGACCTGTTGTGGTCAGAACGTGAAGCATGCTAATAATCACTAGTCACTAATAATCACATTGCCATATACATCAAGCAGCTAAGCAAGCAATACCAAACATGCGAAGGACACATCAAACGAACAAATAAACGTGTACGTAACAGGAACGATTGTCTGTTACGGCACTACGGCTCAGGCTACATCTCAGTCACATCTCATGTGCGGCAGCTGCGTGGCACACAGCGACAGCAAATGCAATGCTCCGCACAATGTTTCCAGCTGTGTTCACTCCTGGGTCTGTGCAAAACAAAGCGTGCAAGGACACATCTCTTCGTCCACGAGTTTGTTGGCACCAGCATGTGCGAACTACTCCAAGCCGTAGAAGTCGTGGCGTTCTCCTTCTGCAGGCAGCAGTACTTGGGGAAGCACTTTGGGGGGTCGTTGCGTTTCGGTGTCTGAATGGTGTTTCTTATGTTACGCTGTCGACCTTAGGAATAGTTCTTTACAGGCGCCCTCGGCCGGTCGGCCGGGGCCTTAAGCTTGAATTTCCTGATTATCCAGCCGCTGCTTAGCACTGTGGTGCAGCTGAAGGGGTTTGGGCGATCGCAAATGGCAAGGTAGCGATTTCGCAGGCTCCTTTTGTACTATATGTCAACTGTGGGTTCTTGCGGCATTGGCTGGTTTTGATGTGATGCCGCAGATGCATGTCTCGAACGGGTGCTTGTGGAATTGAGCGTTTACATGGGGAATGGTTGGTTTTGATATGTAGTGATGCCACTTGTGTCTCGAGTTGGTGCTTGCGAAATCGAGTTTTTACATAGAGAATGGCGGTTTTTTGATTTGCAGTTTGTTGAGTTGTTGCACCGATGCGTTTCTCGAGCTGGCGCTTGCAAAATCGAGCATCGGAATCGTTGGTTTGCATTTGCTACGACACCACTGATGTGTTCTCGAGCAGGCGATTTCAAAATCGAGCGTTAACATCGGGAAATTGGCTGGTTTTGACTTGCTGTCCTGACGTGTGGAAACCTACACGCCGACCAGGATGGGTATGTGTGTGGCATCAAGTCGCGAATCCCGAAATTGACGCTTACACCTGCTTACATTTAGGGCTTGGAAAGCAACGAAATCGCTCGCAAGAAGATTGCGAATCCCGAAGATGATGCTTCAACACAGACCCCCAAACCTTAACACCCGAAGGTTTGCCGGCTGCAGAAGACGCAACGACTTTAGCAAAGTGCGATTCGTTAATGTTTGCGGGTCAGTGGTGGCTTGCCCTCAAGAAACTTTGGAAGATCCCTCCCGTTCCCCCCTTGACTGCTGTGATCCGCATGCCGCGGCTACGACGTCAACATCCGGGGGCAGCTTGTTCATGCTCGAAACACAATTTAAACGCACACGAAAGGTGTTAACAGACGCTGCTATACGAACCTCATGTACTACAGGGACTCGTGCCCAGTAAAATATCTTCGCAGCACATCATTCGCAGCGACGTATTCAGCGCATATCTTTTCTCACTCCAGAATCAATGAGACGCAGTCTGCTTTTCGTGAGCGCTCTCCAACCGTTTAAGCTTCACCTTCGGGGTTCGCAGTGCTCTCTGTGAGCCATTTTGCCTATTGTACCCTTTGTCCAACCGTTTAAGTGTTAACCTTTGGGGTTTTGCAAGCTGCTTGTTGTGAACCATTTTAGCTTCAGTCTTACCGCTGAAGCGTCACCTTCGGGATCCAATTTGCTTCTCATATCTTCTCATGAGCCGTTTTGGCTTCCCTCCTGCCGTTGATGCGTCACTTTCGGGATTCACGATCGGCTTCTTATTGGCTTCGCTTCTTATCGATGGGCGATTGGCGCTCTCAAATTTCAACCCGTAAAACTGTGAACGCTCAAATTGTCTACGGATGTCTACGGCCGTTCGACAATTTTTGCTCGCCGAGCCAAGAGTGCAGTGTGAGGCTCGTCGCCGAACGCGTCGACGAGCCCGCCGCATCCCGGGAGATGGGCCGCACAACGCAAGCTGCAAGTGGCACTATGTGCCAAGCTCGGCTGTTAATCAAACATCCGCGTGCGGCCCAGGTTGCGAACGCAAGCGCGCTCAAGAGCTTGGTGGCATGGCCGGTCGCAACGTGCGCTCGCAGGGGTGAACGTTGCGAGTTCGCGGCGCACTGTGGCACAGTGCAGTCGCCCAAGCCCTTGTCAGTCACCGCTGGTGGGCGGGCGCCTTCCGCGATTGCTCCAGCCCTCCGCTCGAAGGATGTTGCGTGCCACCATGTGCCACCGCTGCTTTGCGAAGGCACGCCGCATGCGCAACCTCGGCATCCAAATGACGGATGAATGCCTCGGTAACAGCCGGGCACGCTGGCCTTGTCCACGCAGCCGGTACGTCCAGCTAGACAATTGTATTCCAACAGCGTGATGCGACTTAGCTCTGTAATTGCGCATACACATCGAGGGTTTCGTCTCCCAACATCAACGCTCGGTACACGTAATTCGTGGGATTTTGCATGCCAAGGATCATGCAGGATACGGCGATCAAAGCTCGCGATGCGTACGAGGGGACTTCGATTCCCGGCAAAACAAGCAACGCCTACTTATTCTTGGATGCCGCCATGCAAGCTAACAGCTCCGATGCAGCCACCACCCAGGCCAGCGAACATCAGCAGCCGTCCTCAACATAGTGTCGCCGCCAGCTACTACCATGTCTATTGTTCATGTTTTGTTTTGCAACCGTCTAGACATGCGCGGTCCCTGTCCGGAGGTTCCGGGCGCGGCGCCACGCCTGGCGCTGCTAAGGGCAGTGAAGAAGTGTTGCGCTGGCAGCTTACGGGATGGGAATTTGCAGCGTGTGCTGGGTGGGCGGCAGGCAGGTCTTGAAGCTCCGCTACCGTGTCCTCACTGCCACGAGCAAGTGGCCCTGCAACCAGCGCACGCCCAGCTGCAGAGATCTCACCGAGGTGGACGAGAGCAGTCGCACGTGCAGCCCTCGTTCCTTGCTCGTCCTGTGCAGTGCTCTGCCGTTGATCGTGCCCCGCACCCGCTGCGAGGGCGACGTCTCCAAGGAGCTGCGGTCACGCATTTTGCTGGAAGAGTGCGACGCGGCGGTGCAATTCATCTGGGGTGAGGCGAGCAACACTTGGGTCGCCTTCAAGTGATGTGTATTGATGTGTGGCCCGTAGCAAGCTCGAGGCCAGCCCGCAAAGCGGTGCGCACTGCACCTCTGATCTTCGCCAGAAAGGTTTGCAACGTGAAAACTCGATTCGGCAATTTCAGTGATTTACGGTGTGGAGCGAAATCGTGTCGAGCGAAGCTAGGCCACGTTGGAAACCTTTATTGCGTACGGTCGTAGCAGCCACGCCCATCATGTGCGATTCTGGGGTCTCGCCCGGTGTGGTCATCATGACTTTGCTGACGGGCGGGCTGCCCGACATCGTGGTTGTAACGCTGATGCGCCATGTCGCTTTTGCGCATCAGGGGCAGACACTCTCGCACATGCATTGTCAGAGTGCACTTTGCACTTTGCACTTTGCCCGTTCGAGTCAGAGACTACGGTCCTATAAGGACATGGGTGACAGGTGGGATCTAATTAAGGTACATCATCTGTACAGAATTGGATAAAGCAGTGTCGTAGAGAGTGCCATTCT